GAGTAATTTACATACCTTGAGAAAGATGAAAAGAGGGTTGGAGCTAAATATGCAAGGATTTTAGTTGATCAAAAAAGACCAAGGGCAATATTAAAAATAGAAATGCCAAGGGAAAAACCCGATTTCCAAATACTAAAGGTCTAGAAGAAGATAAAATCTATATCAACTAATGCTGAGAAGTTAACATATTTTAATTGTTCTCACTGAGTGGAATGTACTCCTGAAAAATTTGCTAACACATTATAATCAATTCTGTGATATATTTTTCTATTTTAAGAGAACAGAATACATATCTATAGCAAATGACTTCTTCCAGGATTCAGACTAAGTGGCATTGCAATAAAACACATGTACTCTGAACAGTAAGATAGTAAAAGAAGAAAATAGGAAAATAGGAATAACTAACACAGAAGGAATAAAGAAGACAAAAATATTCCCTTAAATGCATATAAAAATAACATCAATAATAAAAACAATTTTTTCTTTGAGTAGTAGGACAATGTCATCTTATTTAGCTGGAAGTAATCACCCTCTGAGCTCTGGAAATAGGGTTAAAGTTCTCAACTTATAAGCTTAGCTGCATATTTTAAAGCTCTCCCATTAAAGATAACTCACCACTGAAAATTAGTCCCACAGAAAATGACTAATCAGAAAACACACAGGGGAAGGCATTCCACCATATTCAGATTATCAGGCAGAGAAAAAGTAAAACAAATACTGATTTTATGATACTTGCTAAATTTATGTTTTGTTGGACATTCAAAAAGAAAATATTATTCTTCCAACTTTTTCAAAATAGACTACATTTCCTTTAGAAGAAGAATAAATGCATGGGGAGCTACAAATCTGTCCATTGAAAATCTAGAGGGTATTATTGGTATTCAGTAAACTAGGTTTCACAACGACTTGACAAAGCCTTGACACTAAAAGTACTTATATCTGCTGTCAGTCACTCACTCCTTGACATGTCAAGTGCACAGCCTTTCAGGGACAACTTCAATCAACATTAGCACTCAAAATACAGTACACAGTGTCACTGCTTCAGAAATGAGAGGAAAAATAAAATGTGTTAGATGGCAGGGAAAGGGAGAAAGGCATTCCTCTTTATAGGAGACCAGATTCCAGTGGAAAGTGATAAAAATCACCGAGCAAGCTGTAAGGCTGAAATCAACCAGTTTATATGGATTTCTTTTTCTGGGAAAATATTCTCTTGCCATACATCCATCAAGAGAAAATTTGAACAACATATCATAAAGGCTGACAGGGGTCTATCCTGTAATGAATGTTGGGTCTGTGGACCTGTATAGCATGCCAGACTATTAGAACCTGGAAAATAAAGTTACTTGGGGGAGGAAGAGATGCCTAGATGTGGTTCTAAGACATGAAAAGAATCTGAAGCAGTTGTATGTGTTACTCTAGTATTCTCTCATTCATATTTCTCTTTTTTACTTTTAAACCTCATTCTCCCTTTCATTTCTTCCTCTTCTTTTTTCTCATTTTCTTAGGAAACCAGATTGAAAGAGCATGGGGCCTGGAGTCAAACTGCCCTGGGTTCTAATTATTACTGACTAGCTCCATGATATCTCTAGGCAAGCTGTTTACATTTTCTACACCTCATCTTGCACTTGTATAAAATATGCACAATCATCTATAGAGTTACTGTGAAGGGTAAATGACGTAATATTTGTACATAAAACATTTATCAATGATTTTCATAAAGAAGTACTCAATATACACCTATTTCCCTCCTCTCTCCTGATTCTGTTCCTTCTGACTTGGCAAAAGAACCCATGTGCTTCCTTGGCCTCCCTGAGGGAACTCAAGGGAATAATGTTGATGCTGTCTTCAGAACACTAGAGGAGTGATGGTCAAGGATACTGGGAACCCAATCAGGCTGTGAGAACATTTACTTTACAAATCATGTCCTACAAACCATCACTTTGCTAGTCTTATTTTGATTGGTAGAACCCTTCCACTGGTGTTTGTTAGCTGCAACAAAGGATTAACCAACTTTGTAGTCTACTAAAATTTCATTAAAAAAACACTTTGGAAGTATTATACAAGCTTAGGCCCTAGCAGAGTTTATAAAAAGTGGCAGATGAAGAGTAAAATTATCAAAAGCTTTTTTTTTTTTTACTCTGGCCACAGGCAATTTTCATTACTATGACCTGATAAGCCATAAAAGCTGGTGAAATTGGACACATTTTAGAAAAAAAAAAAAACAGCCTGATGTTTTAAAATGTAAGGGTTAAATACAAATAATGCTTTGGCTAGCACTTATTTCAAATGCCTTTCACTAAAATCACTGTCATATTTTCAATTAGGTAAGCCCTGCATTGAAGCTGGATTTTTTTTTTTTGCTGACTCCATTCACTTCACAGGCTTCCCACTCCAGTAGAAATGAAAAGACCGATGGCCTTGTGTGGCTGCCCTACACAAGAGGGAGGCAAGATTTATGAAATCCAGGAAGAACAAGCTTCTCTACTGAAGAAGGCAGATTCCTATTTTAGCCAAGTTTGATAGATAATTGAGTACAGAACTCATATACTTTTTGCTTTTTCAATTGGTATTCCTCCTTTTTTTTTTTGCCCTTTAATATACATGTTTTTAAACTTTAGAGCTAAGAAATGCCAAAAGCCACAAAGCATTCATTCCCCCCTGAGATTAAAAGAGGAAATGAAACATTTTTATTTTCATCTAAAATAGTGCTTTAAGTAGTCAAATTTCATACTCATCTATCTAAACATGTAGATTAGAAGCTACTTAGCAGCAATAGCATCAGGAAAGAAAGTTCTCATCACCCTGGACAGTTCTCACTAATAATTAGAAAGAAAAAAGGAAAGCTGTGAATTACAATGAACTAAGACTAAATAAGTGTCCATGTTGGATTAAAGGATCTGTGTTGTCAGTTTGATGTATAATGAATGTGAAAATCAGCCATTTAATTAAATGGTACATGGTATAATCACTTTGTTCTGCACTAAACTGCTTAAGTTATCAGAGCGCCTTTAGTTTAGCAACTGTTTACTATTACACCACCCACCACTTCTCTTAGACACTGTTTAGCCTATGTTATTCCAAATTTGAAATCTGGAGTTTATATAGTAATGTTAATTTAGTTGATATAGTTCATCGGTTTAAATTAGTGAATATAGAAAAGAGGAAATCACAAAGGTATAAATTCCAGATATACGTGGTGAAAAAATTAAAAACCAAGTACATAAAAAGTCTGCAAAAATCTTTAAGACTAAAGTACTATTTTCTTATAGATGGTTTTATTTTAATAATTTAGGCTTTAAAAGTATTTTCTAATCATATGCCTATAACTACAAAATGTCCTTAAAACAGCTTTCTTTCCAAAGAACATGGAAATTTTACTGGTTAACAAGAGTAGTAAGGTCCCTGCAGATACATGAAACTAGAACAGGTCAGAATATGCAGGAAATTCCCTGGCAGTCCAGTGGTTAGGACCTGGCCCTTTCACTGACAGGGCCCAGGTTCGATCCCTGGTCAGGGAACTAAGATCCTGCAAGCCACACGGCGTGGCCAAAAAAAAGAATATCCATAAGCCTGAAAACTGTCATGTGTCTATGTCATTATTGTAGGTTAGTCTATGAAAAGAAGAAAGGACAAAAATGGTAAGAGAGTTAAGAAGGCCCTGGCAGTCAGCATGGATTGAAGAAAAAGAAAAAAAAAAAAATCCTGAGGATATAAAGAGAATAATGTTTGACTATAGAGATTAAATCACCCAAATTTCATAGAGTTGAAGCCATATACTCACCGCCACTGCAATTCTTCCAAGGACATGCTCTGGAATTTTTCTATATACATCCAAAGATCCCCCTGTAGAAACAAACATGTTGTGTTACAACAAATGAAACTACTAAAAAAGTGCACTGGGCCCATCCTCTGTGGATCCATTGTAGGACTTCTTTTTCTCTACTGACATCATGCACTGGATGTCTAGGGTAAAATTAGCTTTTTAGTCCAGTTTTATCAATATTTATGATATAATCATACTTCCAGATGAAGCATAACTAGATACTTTCATTTTATTCTCAAGTGTATAATCGTACACATGTAAAAACTGAAGGAAAGTAGTGAAGGACAGGCTAAGAATCTGTACTTTATGTAAACTTAAATACATACGCAAAACTAAAGGTCAATAGGACAATCATATCTAGGCATCTAGCTTGTGTTAACAGTTTTCTCAAAGGTAAACCAGGGCCCTATCTTAGAATTTTCATATTAACCAAACAAAAGCTGGTACGTATAAAATTCAAAATACACATAAAAACTAATAAAGAAAAATAGTTATGTTAACATCTATCTAAATGAATGTTACCCTTCAAATTAGGTACCATGACAAGCAATCAACATATTCCAAAGATACTATCTTAGAACAAAATGGTTTTTTTCTTTTTTGGAAATTCTCTTTGATACAATTTTGAAAACTACTTTATGAGGTTAAAAAGAACTCTTTATGTCGTAACATTTTTTCACTAAAATGGTATTCACTAACATCCTTCACCTTTACCAAATTCAGCTTTTGGTGGTTTCCAAACAACAAAATCACTAGATTGTGAACATGATAAAGGCAGGGGTCATGTTGTTTGTTTTTAATTTTTCATCAACCTAGAAATCAGCACAACTAACAGAGAGTAGATATTCAATAAATATCTGTCAGATGAATAAATAAATTTAAATTGCCATGAATTTTATCAGCTAGGTTAAGTTGCTCTGAAAACAGTTTCAAAAGAAGGGACTGCAAACCATCTGCAGCAATAATAACATCATTAAAATAATGGCATAACTTTCCCAGGAAACTATTTCAAAGGAACCAGTATTCATTTGGAAGTATAAATTTGAGTATGCTTGTTAAATTTTTAATCTTATACAAGTAGTATAAGAATTTCAGGAAGAGATGCAAAGAACCACTACTTTACTCATATTAATGATATGATTATATGAGAACTATTTTAATCACATGTAATAACCTTTCTTTGAGTCAAGGTGAGGTGTACAGTCTTTCAGTTCCATACAGGAATTATCCAATATATTTGAGAAACAATTTTTGTTTCTATCAGAGGCTAAAAATTCATACTTAACAATTTTACCACTGGATGCTTTATAAGTATGCCTCGTAAGATGTTAACATGGAGCATATTATCCTTTTCAAATGCAGTTAAGTCTATTTTGCAAATATAAATATTTTTATGTCAAGTTTTCCTAAAGTTGAACAGAGAAAAAATTATTTTTCCCTGTAAAAAATATTATATCAATATATATTCCATATATATAAAGATACTGGCTTTGTATTTATCTTGTTTAAAGCAGGAAAATGATCACTTCTTTCATTAACTTTGGCTTGTAGTTTCCAGATTCTGACAAGAAGCTGGAAAACCACAGTGTTAGTAAACCTTATGCTTTGGTTCTGGGTGCTACCAGGAAGAGAATGAAAAAAAGACACTTCTGCAATGAGGTGAGCCATCTTTATTTACTAAAATGGCATTTTTATTATAGATGCAAGAAAAGTGAAAACGCGGTAGAAAAAACATTTCATGTTCTCATCGATCTTTCAGATGAATTGGCAGTTGCAAGAATGAACAGTCTCAAGAAGATCAAGCTTTACATGTTGGTATTTGGAATCCTCATTAATGGAGTTTAGTGGGCCAGTCCCTTATGAAGTGAACAGCTTGAGTGGCTCAAAACCAGGAGGTGCAAATCTATTCACATACACTACTAAGAGGTGCTAAGAGAAGATTTATTTTTACATAGGATATAAATCAGGGCTTAATTAGCTAAATGGATAGTAGTCAACAAGCTAAATCAAAAAACCAAAGATTACATTACCTCCATTTTTAGTGGAACAAGACAAAAAAGAATCCCATTTTGAGGTAATTCACTGATTTTTCTAAATATCTACTTAATCTCAGTTATATCCCACTCTCCTTAGCTATCCATATGGGTAAATCTTTACGTAGCTGGCTTTGTGTCATCACAGATTCGTCCTGTCCTTGACATAATCATTAGAGAGAGATACTGTCAGAGGCAAAAAAAAATTGTGGCAGATCCACTTAGAATCAATAGTTCTTACTAAGCCGGATGAGTTCTCATGCAGTTAAAATAACTCTTACCAGGGTAAAAACGGCAGAGGGTTTTCAGTTGAATTTTTACTGAGTTTTACTATCATTTCTATCCTATAGGCCTAGGCAATCTTTAGACTCATCAAATCATCAAACATTAGTGCTGGAGGGACCTTAAAGGTCAGCCCAATGACTTTATTTGACAGAGGAGGGAAACTGAGTCCAGAGAGGTGGGTGTTCTCGTCACAGCCATGAGTCAGTTGATGCCAGAACTCAGAAAAGATCTGAACCTTTGAACTGCAAAGATCTAAAAGGTTTCTCCATAACATCACATAGCTTGAGAATCACATGTGAGCTTTCTAGTCTCACTGCAATGTGATATTACTATATGACACGTACTCAGAGAGACAGTTTAATCTTTGCTGAGGCATTGGTATTCAAGGCATATAGATACTCGTTTATCTGTTGAATGGTTGCTTTGAACCTTCTCCTCATGATTCCAAGGTCACTGGTTTACTCTCTGTGACCTGTCACTTCCTCAGGTTCCCTGGCCTCAGATCATCCCTAGCCAGTCATTTCCTTGCATGCCACTATCCACCACGGGAACCGGGAGGAAGAGTGCTAACAGAGTAGCAAAAAATCCATGTCAACTGTCAAACAACTACACATTTCTGTTGATGAACTGGGGCTATCATCTTCATGAAATTAAGCCAAAAGAACTCATGGGGGGGCTTGCCTGGTGGCACAGTGGTTGAGAGTCCGCCTGCCGATGCAGGGGACACGGGTTCGTGCCCCGGTCCGGGAAGATCCCACATGCCACAGAGCGGCTGGGCCCGTGAGCCATGGCTGCTGAGGCTGCGCGTCCGGAGCCTGTGCTCCACAACGGGAGAGGCCACAACAGTGAGAGGCCCGCGTACCGCAAAAAAAAAAAAAAAAAAAAACTCATGGGGTAAGGTCTGTGTTTATCCTAATACAGGGCTACAACATAAAGTAGTGCCTTGCATGTGGGATAAACAGATATGTAGTAAATGAACAAGTAACATTAGTTTCATATTCATCCCAACATTTTCCTTAAAATGATCATGATTATTATTAATACTAACAAAATTGAAATCTGGAGCCACAAGCAAAAATTTCAGAAACTCTCTTAGTCTCTTCCAGTTGAAAAAAATAAAGAGCCGTTTCTTTCTTTGCAACATGGGTTTTGGGGGAAACAACTTATTCCCATGATGGTAATCCAAATACATGTACACAGATTCTGAGATGCTATATTTGGGTATTTCTGAGTGAATTTAATTTTGACTTAATGAGAAGGCCTATCAAATCACTCCCCTACTTGAAACCTTCCAATACATCCTAACAAATTCAGACTGAAACATAAATTCCTCACCATGACCTACAAGGCCTACACAATCTAGCTTCTGCCTATTTCTCTGGCCTCCTGTCTGGCCCCAGGTCCTCTCATCACCACTCTCAAGTCACCACGGCCTTCTTGTGGGGCCTTATTACACCAAGCTTGCTTCCCACCTTAGAGCATCTATACTTGATCCTCTGCCTTGAAGATCTTCCCCATGACCTTCCCTGAGCTGGCTCACTGACATTAAAGTCTCTGCTAAAATGCCACTCCCGTAAAGAAGCCATCCCTTGGACCTAGAGACTGTCATACAGAGTGAAGTAAGTCAGAAAGAGAAAAACAAATATCGTATATTAACACACATATGTGGAATCTAGAAAAACGGTACAGATGAACCAGTCTGCAAGGCAGAAATACACAGATGAAGAGAACAAAGATATGGACACCAAGGGGGGAAAGTGGCGGTGGGGGGGTGAGGGTGGCGGTGGTGGGATGAACTGGGAGATTGGAAATGACATATATACACTAATATGTATAAAATAGGTAACTAATAAGAACCTGCTGTATAAAAAATAAATAAAATTTTTTTAGTTAAAAAAAAAAATACAAGAAGCCATCCCTGACCGTCCTGTATAGCAGCAGTCCCCAAACTTTTTGGCACCAGGGACCGGTTTTGTGGAAGACAATTTTTCCACGGACAGTGGGGTGTGGGGATGGTTCAGGCAGTAATGTGAGCAATGGGGAGCGGCAGATGAAGCTTTGCTTGCTCGCCTGCCGCTCACCTCCTGCTGTGAGGCCTGGCTCCTGACAGGCTGCAGGCCAGCACTGGTCAATGGCCCAGAGTTTGGGGACCCCTGCAATATAGCACCTCCTCTCCTTATTAGTCATCATCTACCCTGCTTTAGGTTCTAACTAGACTTATCCCTCTCTGAGAGTGTACTGTATGTTTCTTGTCTCCCCTTCTAGAATTTAAGCCCCATACCAACAGGGATTAAGTCTTATTCACTGTTGTCCCCCAAGTTTAGAACAGTGTCTGAAAGAAAGTGCTCAATTACTACTTGGAAATAAACAACTAATATAAGATTAAAATAAATAATGGGAATTTACACTAACAGAACAGAACTAGGGTTGAGACAAAGTTGTCGAGAAGTTTAATTGAGATAGGAAGGGGAAAGAAGGAATGATAGAGGATGGCGCATAGTTTTTGGTCCATGTATTTTTGAGGAATATTTTGTTTATTACAGAGAGAATGAAGGTCCAAAAGAGAGAGGGTGGTTAATGGAGAAACTCCACCATGGGGATGCACACGTAAAGGGACTGACCTTAAACAGCTTTTCATGTGAGAGGTGGATCAGGTGTGTGCAGTTGTTGCTAAGCTATAGGTGGAAAAGCAAGGAATTATG